GCTCTTCCTCCTTACTATCTCTCCAGCATCTGGGGTGGTGCCTCCAACATAGAGATGCTCCATAAACATGGGCTGAGTTAGTCGCTTTGCTAAAGGGGCAGAGGAGTCAGTGAGTGTAAGTTGCCTCTGATAGCGGAAAGCTTGGGAAGGCTTTGGACTCTCCCTGCCTGTAGCACTGGAGCAGGGGTACCTTCCACTGCTTATAGGGACTGGGGCAGGTAGGCACCCAGCTGACACATGGGTTAAATGTGAACTAGTTTAAATAGGAGCTAATGAGGTGGAAGCAGAGGGGGGCCTGGTGTCCCAGGGCCTTCACCTTCTTCCTTTTGGATCCTCAGGCACAGCATCAGAGCAAAAACTCTAAGATGTAGCAGCACTAGCTACACAGTGGCCTTCCTTGTCTCCAGGACGACAGAGGATGAACCCTGAGACCCCTCCCACTGGAGGAAGGGTATCTCTGTCCCTCTGGAAAGGGGACTCAGGAACTTTTGCCCGGAACCCAGGGACCAGTCTGCAGGCACGGAGGAGACTCTGGATCTCGGCATGAAACTGAACCTATGACAAGTGTAGGAGCCTCTATTCTGAGGGTTCCAGATGTGTCAGTCATGGAAATGTGAGGGTGTTTTCCCAAGGTGTTCACCTCAGACCTCCCTGAGCTGCCATCTTTGATTCCCTGTGTTTGGTCACAGACGCTGTGATGTGCTCCTATTAAAGAAGAAGAGACAGATGACAGTGAGAGAGGAGAGAGGGGGAGGAGTTAGAGAGAGAGCTTGGGAGAGATGAAGAGACAAAGAAGAGAAGAGGCACCAAGAAAGAGAGAATATAAAGGGAAAACCTCAGGGCAAGAGATGTCAGGGAAAGATCAAGACATTAAAGGAAGGAGAGAGAATCAGGAAAGAAAGGCAAGCACAAGAAAGGACAAAAGCCATAAGAGAACAAAATGGCTGGAATGAAGTGAAAGTTGTCACCAGGATGTGCTCGTTTTGGACATGCAGAAGGTTGGAGAGGGGAGATCACACAGTCCATCCTTGGCTGCCCTCCTAGCTCCCGGAATCTCCCTGCCAGAAGCCCCACCCTACTTCCGGCTCCTCAGGGTGGGGCTCCCTGTGTTTCCTGGGACGAGTCCTCAGTCCCAGATGGTGAGCCTATAAGGGGGTGGGGTACTCCGAATGCCACGCTCCTGATCATTACTAACCAAGGCTAAGGGTTCCAGCCCCTCCTTGGGCTCTGTCTTTCTGCCCTGCTGACACAGTGGGTCAGAGGGCCAGTCCTAGAGGGGCCCCAGAAGAGAAGGGCTGGCAAAGAGAAGAAATCGATGACACCAACCCTGCGGAAGGTTCAGACCTACAGGAGGGAGCCATTGCCCTGTGTGGGCTACAGACCCAGGAAGATTCAGCTATGGCGCCCAGGAGTCCTGAGGGCCCAGAACTGCCCCCAGGGGAGGACCTGTCTGCTTTTACTTCCTCAGCTTCCCACTTGCCCGCTGCTCTGACTCTACCTGTTCCAGGGAGGGGGATCTCCAGGTGTCCTGCGGCCTGAAGTCACCGTTCTCAGAGAGAAAAAGTTCGTGAAGAGTCTGACAGATCGAGGATGGATGAATGGAAAAAATAGAAAGTACAGCAAAATATTAAGATAGAATCTACATGGTGGGCATAGGGATGTTCACTGTACAATTCTTTCAACTTTTCTATACTCTGGATTTTTTCATATAAAATATAAGGGGAGAGAAAAAAAGTGTCTGGCAAATAGTAGGCATTCCTAAGTATAAGGTGTTGGGAGTGTAATCCCTTTCCAGGAGAATCTATATTTCAAATACCTGCAGAGGACAATGTTTATCCTGAAAGATGGCAGATTGCAGGTGAGGGCACCAGCAGAAACCAAATAGGGGAAGGAGAACCTTGGACCACACCCAGAGGTGATTAGGAAGTTTGCCCACCCAAAGCAGCTGGCCCTTCGATTGGTGATCTTTTCTCAAGTTTATTCTGCCTCTCCTGAGATCTGGGCTTTGGTCCAGAGTTGACCCTACCCTGCCACCTGTAACCTTTGGGGCAGGATAAGATGTTCCAGACCCTGCCTGACAACTGACCTTAAGAGTTTGATCATGTTTGCTCAGGAGGTGAGGTTCACGCAATAAAGAGCAGGGGGAGGGCTTGGACGAGGTATAAAAGACCTGGAAGTTTCCAGGGGGTTACTTTGCACTTGAAAGCGCCAGGTGAGGGGTGACAGAGGTGTGG